ATATATATATATATATATATATATATATATATATATATATATATATATATATATATATATATGTGTAGTGTCATTATAACCATAGTAAAGGGAAGGAGATGTGCTGTTTAGCCAGGTGATGATGGGGTCTCCTATAGACGTAAATGTTAGGGAGGCATAGGCTTAGGCGATGGATAGCAGAGTTGTATACACATTGGTGTGCATATAGATATCTCTCAGCATACACGTAGCCTACAGAAAAAGATATAGATGGGGCTCCATAGAGATAGATGGGGGTGCAGATGCGCTGCCTAGGCATATCTGGGTAACGTACACAAAGACACTGCTGTCTTGTATTTTTATTCTATGGGTTTGTGGGGTATCAGAGCAGCGGTGTCAACAGACCCTTCTGGCGCCCGCAACACCCCCCAGCAGCTCCGCATGAGAAAGGATTGGGGTTCAGTGTTGTGGGGTGTATCTTCTCGGCTTTATGTTATGGGATCGAACCCCTGGGATCGATACCTGGCGGGATCGATGCTGTGGGGTGGCTCTTAGAGACGTATAGTTAGCACGGAGTGAAGTGGTTGTGTAGTTTGTCTCTCAGTTCTTAGTTAGCAATCATTTTTTTATTTTTATTTATTTATAATATTAAAAAAATTTTGTTTTTATTTTTTTGTCGTCAGCAATAGAGGTAGTGTCGTCGCCGATGTAGCTCAGTCGGTAGAGCGCGAGGCTCTTAACCTCGTGGTCGCGGGTTCGAGCCCCGTCGTCGGCTTTTTTTTTCTTGCGTTTAATTCTATTCTAATTCCTATAAATATTTTTTCATTATTATTTAATTTCTTAAATTTTTTTAATTACATTTTTCTTTTTTTACTTCTCCCAATGCTGGTTGATTCTGCGCTGGCAGCATCGTGGACACCTGAGGCTGACCGCTGCAGGCTTCTCTTAATCTGCAATTCAGAGCAGAAGAAAGAAGGCTGATGCAATACAGAGCAGAAGAAAAAAGAAAAAAAGTTTATTTAGGGGATTATCTCTTGTATTTATTTCTTCATGGTCAGACAAACAAACCTCCTCGCGTTGAGAAACATCGATTCTCGTAGAGCCCACCTGCGCCCCTGTTGTTAATTCCCTTCTTCTTTCCTTTTTTTCAGTGTTTACTACATACCCCACGCCTCCCTCTTTCCTCTTATCTCTGCTGCATCTCGTTCTGCAGTGTACGTACACTCCAACAGCGCCGAGGCTATCGCCCCCGGCCCGAGGCCTTTCTTGGGTTCACCAGGTGTAGTTAAGAGCCCCAAGCAGCAGCAGTAAAGATAAGAGCTCAACATACACCTGAACAAACTCAAGGCCTCTCTGCCCGCCCCACACATCTGGGGAGCCATGGAAGAGCGAGCCGGTAAGTCAGGTCTCGTACTACCCCAGCTCTCTTTCTTGAGATTAACCTTCTGGGTTCGTTCCTGCTTATAGCAGCTGCATATCAAGCCCTAATATATGCGTGTATCCCTTCTTAATAAACATATATATATGTATATATATATATATATATATATATATATA